TGTCACTGGTTCTGTCAGAACCCTGGCTGCAGCATTTTGGATCAGCTGGAGGTTTTTAAGAGAGTTATTGGAACATCCTGATAATAAGGAATTACAATAATCCAGTCTAGAAGTTATAAATGCATGGACTAGTTTCTCAGCATCACTCTGAGACAGGATGTTCCTGATTTTTACAATATTGCGTAAATGAAAAAAGGCTATCCTACAAACATGTTTGAAATGGCTATTGAACGACATGTCTTGGTCAAAAATAACTCCAAGGTTCTTTACAGTAGAACTGGAGGCCAAAGCAATGCCATCTAGAGTAGCTATCTGGTTTGCTAGTGTGTTTCTGAGGTGTTTAGGGCCAAATACAATAACCTCAGTTTTGTCTGGATTTAAATGAAGGAAATTACAGGTCATCCAGGCCTTTATGTCCTTCAGACATGCCTGGAGTCTGACCAACTGATTCACTGATAGTTTTCAGTATATCCAGTGGAACTCAGCAAACACAAACCGTTCATAGTAAATTCAGTGCACTTCATTTTTTCAACATGTAAAAATTTCGGCTTGAAAACGAGCCTCAGTCTGTAGGATGTCACTCTCTGTATCATGTACTGTGACAGGATGATTGTGAGAGATTTTAATGACAGTGCTTCACCTTTTCATCAATTATTGCCAACACCTATTTGCATTTGTAACATTATGTTCGTTACCACATGAGATGTGATCAAAATAGAAAAACGCTCTTTATTCTAATGCAAAGCTGAGTAATTTGTCTCACCTGTTGCGGAAACATCCCTCTTCAGAAGATGAAGTTGTACTGTCTGTCCACTAGATGGAGCTAAATGATCATCTGATGGAGCAGCAGCACTTCTGATTACACGTCTCAGCCCTGGTTTCTAACAATGGGGGACCAGAAGGTCCAGAACCTTGCACTGCTACAGTCACTGTCTGAATTTAAACTTCTTCTTCAAAGGCCATTTTCTCATTTCTAAAAGTGGGACTACACTGATGCCATGTTCCTGCTGTGAGATGCTCAGTTAATACAGACAGTAATGCTATGCTTCAGTAATACATGAATAGAGAAATGACCTTGTGTGTGATTATTATCTAGTTAGACTGAAAACTGCCAGTAGTGCTACCAATGATACTGATAAGCATCAAAATGTATAAGCATCAATAATAGATGGTTTGCTTAAACTTCTAATGGATCCTTCTGCAGACAGTGTTTTAGTATATCAACAGACGGTCATGGTGCCATTTATAAATGTTAAATGTCATCTCCCCAACACCCTTTTGCTCGTGCAGCNGTAGATCAGTCCATAAAGCATCATGCATGCATGGCTGACGCTCTGCAGGTTATGGAGAACTTCCACGTCTTCCAGCACAACACCGACATCAGCAAAGCGTCCATCACCTGGACCATCAGGATCATGGCCCTCTGCTCGGACTGTGTACATGCCCATGGTCTTCTCTGCAATGTCTGCCTCAGCCTCTCTGGATTCAATGTCCTGGAATATAAAGAGACCGGAACGATGGGCTGTGTGACCTTAACCTTGACCACCAAAATCTAAGCAGCTCATCCTTAGGCCAACTGAGTGCTAATTTGAAGATATTTCTTTAAGGCACTGTATATGTGCGTTCATGAGAATGAGATGGATGCAAGTTCAAGGTAACAATGACCTTAAAACCTTTGATCACCTCCTAAAAGCCTGGAAAAAAAGAACAAGTCACAAGGATGCATTTTGATTATACACAGCCTCCTCTCAAATTGTGCACTTTTCTATCAAGGTGACAACAACAATTAAAAATTGGACAATTATCCTTTAAAGTAGTAGTTTTGTTCTCACATGTTCATGGGTTGATCCTCCACTGAGGGTCAGGTTGTGTGCTTCTTTAAGACGGAGGGATTTCCAGAGAGACTTAACAAAACACCAGCTAAAGTACATAGATATATGAAAATACAGAACCAGGAACCCCCAATGATTTTGTTCAGAGATCAGTGATGTAAATACGTAGCCAGTAGATGTAAGAGCCAAATAAGAAACTGTTTATTGATGCAGGGAAAATGGATTGAAGAGAAGGAGGCAAACCTCTCCAAGCCCCTCTCCCTCTCTTCTACCCTCTGCCATCTCTCTACTTAGCTCTTGTAGGGGCAAGATTCACTCCTCTCCTCTCCAACCCTCTCCAAACCTTCTCACTCACTCATGCCATCCTCTCTCTCTTCTTCTTACTCTCCTCACTGGGATAATAGACTTGATGCACAAGTTCCACTACTTCCTGACAGGAAGAGCTATGTTTCCTGTAAACACTATAAGTTTACGTGATTACTCAGGTGTGCAGTACTACTCTTGAATATTGTGCACTTTTCTGCCAAGGTGACAACAATGAAAAATCTGAAAATTATCCTTTAAAGTAGTAGTCTTGTTTTCACATGTTTGAGTTGAGCCTGGGCACACCCAGCGTGCACCTGATAAATCACATGAAACAGTGGTATGGGACAGGAAATAAAGACGCAGTCTTCTGGTGAGGAAGTGGTGGAGTGTGTGCATCAAGCCTGTTAAGTCTAAACCTGACTCACATTGTGTTTGGCCCAGTTTTTTGCTACCGACTGACAAAACATGACCTTGTGATGTAATCAACCGGGGTGGTGCTGGGCAGCATTGAAAAGTTGAAATGATTCAACTTTTCAGCACCCGTAAAAAAGTGAGCTGTCTTGCATCAGTCTAAGAGATGACAGTGGGAGTAAGAGGAGGGCTGGAGGGAGGACGATAGGGAAGAGAAAGGACCAGCCTTTCCCTGTCCTAACCTTCTCCCTCCCTTTACCCCTCATCTGTTGGAAACGCCCCC